TGGGCCTCGAACTGCGTGGCTCGTGGTTCTCTGATTCGCAGTCGGTTAGTAAGCACAGTGATCTCCGTATTTTCATATTTTACGTTAAGGATGCCCGGGCTGAGTAATTAATTGTGCGGGGAGGGTGTGACTAACACGACTCTCACTGAAATCATCGGTTAGCTAAATTTCGGAGCAATTACTGCCCCACTAACCGAAACTGCAGATTAAGTCATGGTAGTTAACGGCTCTAGGGCGGACTATCAATCAGAAATTGCACCGTCTGTGATGACTGCGTGAAGCAGTGCCTTTCAAAGGTGTGTGGTTGTAAGGTAACTGCGCCCTCTAAATACTGCTATCTTCGGGTGTTCATTACGCCTCTTTGATGGTGATTTTGAGTGTAAACCCGAAACCTTTGGCGGATACAATTCTGACTCCTCGATCGAGTCTCTTTCTCGACTACACCCTGGAGCTCCCCTTTCACTTGTACGATAAGTCGTGCCTTCTCGTGGGTAGTCGTCGAATATGATACAGGCCAGTCCCTGGTCCCGTCCGGTCTATTGATTCCCTTAATCCTTTAGATGGTAATGGCTGCGGGCATCTCTTGTTTGCATGACTAACAACATTTGTTATCTGCTGCTGCTCCGACTTCTGTTTTGTAGGTAGACGGTTTACTAGAGTGGCGTCAGTCACGCCTGTGGGTATAACCGCTGTGTGATCTGCGACTGCTTACTCTCCATACCTGGAAATTTATTTATTTCACCACAGGCTTTCGGTGAAGGCTGTTCCACTATCCACGACATGTAGTTAGGTTAAAATGTGAGACCGGTCCTCTAGGGCCATACTTGTTACTGGAAAAAGACCCGAAAGTCTCATTTTGCGTCCAAGTGGCTGTTCCTGTTGGGTTCCTTTAACTTGGCTGATATTACCGTGTAAAACCACTGGCGACTTTTGTGTCGCGTTGGCCAATTTTAGAATTCCTATGGAAAAGCTTCTACTTTTAATTAAGTCATATGTAGCATCTTCACAGAATTCATAAAATCCGCCGGCGCTGCCTCTCTAGCTCTTCTGTTTATGTCCACTTTTCAAAAGGTGCTTTACACCGGGGATTTCAGCCGCCAGGAGGACCGCCATTTAATGTGTGCTGAAATTCCGCCCTGCCGGCCAGATGTCCTAATAACGGAGTCCACCTATGGCATTCATATTCATGATAAGAGGGAGGAGCGAGAGAAGCGCTTCACCAACCTGGTCCACGACATTGTATCTCGTGGTGGGCGCTGTCTGATCCCAGCTTTTGCCCTGGGCCGGGCACAGGAACTGATGTTGATCCTGGACGAGTACTGGGCCGCCCACCCGGAGCTGCATGACATCCCCATCTACTATGCCAGCCAGTTAGCTCGCAAGTGTATGGCTGTCTACCAGACCTACATAAATGCCATGAACGATCGAATTCGAAACCAGCTGGCTAACAATAATCCCTTCTGCTTCCGGTATATTTCTAATCTTAAGGTAAGCCGATGCCTTGTTCTGCCACTTTCTTACTTGTGCTTGATCCGATTAGCTCCTGTTGTTGGACAAATCTGCTTTACGGATGTCTTGGATAGCGGCGGCCCATTGGCAGCGATCGGAAGAGATATCCTCGCAAATGTTAACCTAGTGTCGCAGGCCTTAAACGGTTACGAGGCCAATCCGTTCGACGTCCAACTTGACGGTGTTGAGCCATGTCTTCGGTTGACCGCCATGACGCTATCTCCCGTTTGCACTATATGAGGGATTCACAGCCAATCTGCAGAGGTCCGTCGATGGTTTGCGCAGTACATGACCAAACCACTGCAATCGGCGATGCTGGATGTATGATGCTAGACTTGGTATTTTGAAACGCTATAGCGGTATAGCTCGACACTGGAAATTCGATCCTACCAGAAAACTCTTAAGAGGCGTCGAAGACCCCAACGGTCAAAGATCTCGTGCGATATGATGTCTGCCTTTCTGACTGGCCATGTTTCGCAGGCATATACTAACACCGATCTCATTGCTGTTCTGCATATCAGCAGCTTAGTACGTCAACTACTTTCTGAGCAAGACCAGAGTGGTCTGAATAGTAGCTTAAATGCATTTCAAGCCTGCGCGATTCGGTTCTTGATTTCTTCTTTGGCCTGTCCGTTGTCTAGTATATTCGAGCCAAATAGCGGAAGCAGATAACTTCTTCGATGGGTTGACCACTGATAAACAGTGTTTGTGCTGCGCCAAGATGCGTATTCAGGAACTTCGTATTGCGTATATTAATCGTCAGAACAACATTTGCAGCGAAGCTGGTGATTCGGTCTAGCGTTAGCAGTGTCGTCGGCATACTGCGGGTCACGTACTTTGAATCCAGGGGTCATTTCACATCCACTGTCAGGTAAATTGATTGATGCATCACCCAGTCGATCAAGAAGTTGAAGAAAACTGGGGAAAGGGGGCATCCACGTCGAACTCCACAAGTCACTGGAAAGAATCTGATTCTTCACCAAGCGCGCTGTATCTGCCCTTCATCGGTCATCAAGCGCCGCCTTTCACATTATTTTTCTTCCTTTACAGAGCATAGAACACTTTGATGACTCCGGCCCCTGCGTTGTAATGGCCAGCCCAGGCATGATGCAGTCCGGTCTGTGTCGGGAACTCTTCGAAAACTGGTGTACAGATAGACGCAATGGCGTGATAATCGCCGGCTACTGTGTGGAGGGAACTTTGGCTAAACAGATTCTCTCCTTGCCTGCCGAGGTGCCTACCATGTCTGGTCAGATGTTACCCCTCAAGTGCTCCGTTGACTACATCAGCTTCTCTGCGCATACTGACTACCAGCAGACCAGCGAGTTCATACGGGAGCTTCGGCCGCACCATGTGGTAAGTTTTTCACCTACATTACTGGCCTAACTGGCTTCAAGAATGTCCCAAGTGGGGCCTCCACGTTCACTGATCCACGAGGATTTTTCAGGTCATTTCCTGCCAGCCTAGTCTACGATGTCCGGTGGCATATACGATAGAGCCAACAGCCCTTTCACTGCTCGAAGGGAGAGTATCCAACTGTATCTTTAGATGGTTGCCTTGATGTCGTTTTCCTTGACAGTAAGCTTTAGCATTCGGTGTGCAGACAATTAGATCGTATTCTTACCGTCGCCAGGTGAGCCAAACCAACTAGTGGTAAGTCTGTAGAAAACTTGTAAATTTCCCCTTACTACCACAGCAACACTAAATAATGTCCGAGATAAAGTCGGTATCTCCCGAATTTGGAATAATTCAAGTTGGTGAACCGCTCAACTTTCACACATTTTACCGCATTTTGGGCAAAAAACTACACACATTAGTAAAAATATAATTTTTTTAACTTGAAATTATCCCTTTTTTCCGAACATAACTGCGATTCCTTAAACTTAGCTTTATTTGCATTTGATCCACTTCAGACTAAACTTTCTGGTTCTGGAAGGACTGTATTTTAAACATTTGTTACTTATTTTGGGGTTCTCCCATATCATAACCCACACAAGTAAAATGTTTGGTTCTATCGTACATTAGACATTTCTTTGATATCAGGCCATTTCCAATTTTGATAAAATTTCTGCCTATTACCCTCAATAAACTGAACTAAAAAGGCAGTATTCCTTACTAAAAGGCTTTCTCGGGATTAAATCCACTCATTACATCAACAGGACGTGACCAAATCTATGCTAAACTACCAAGTCCAATTACGGCATGACTTTTGCCGGATCTCTCAACCATACCGTATTATTATTTATTTATTAGCTGGGGGGTGTGTTCAAATGGGCCTTGGGCAGCCGGTACGTCAAAGGTCTATAGATCAGCGAGTCGGAAACAGCTGTTTGCGAAAGTATACGACGTTGAGGCAATAGGTACGGAACGAGTAAGATGGACAGCATAGGTGACTGTTCGCTACAAGTTTTTCAGCTCGCTCGACGTTCTTACCACTTAATGTCACTAGGACTTGAGTTTTCCATGGACTAGCCACAGTCTATTTCCCCCCCCTGCGAACAATTTTTAAATATATTGTGCATATGGTTTGTTTCAGCAGTTTTCAAGCAAGCTAATGTCCAGTTTCTTTGAGTAGTCAGCTTCCGTGGAAACTGTTATCTCCCCACCAATCCTTCCCGACGGCCCGCCCACAAGCCTGCTTGGGACCGTGACTGATGTGTATATTGACCGTCCCTACTAGCTTACCTCATTACTATTACTGATACGTGTGTTACTCATAATCAGAATGGTTTCAACTGTTTTGAGCTGGCTTTTTACACCCTCGAATGTTCGCTTAACCTTCTCGCCCACATTTGGCTTAACTCGCTTTAAGCGCCAAGGCAGTCTCAGCTCTTGCTTCCTTGGTAGGGACCTTGCTGATTGCCTTGCCGACATCGTTGCTGTCGTCACTTCCTTGATTTTTCTGCGAAATAATTAGTCACAATGGCAAATTTTATCATATTTTGCCCGTGATTAAGTTGCTACCATTTCCATTGCTCCTCTCGCACAGGTGCTTGTACATGGGGAACAGAACGAGATGATGCGATTGGCTGGAGCTCTGCAACGCGAGTACGAGGACGATGAGACCTGTCGACTGGAAATTTCCACGCCAAAAAACTGCGAAGCCGTGAACCT